GAACCGACTCATGGTGAACCAGCTCGGCGATTCCACATGCTAGTTTGCAGACCAAAAAAATATTATTTTTTAATTTTAATATTTTTAAACATTTTTATATAAAAATATATATATTTTAGATATTTAATTTGTTTTGTTTAAAATTGTATTTATTTTATATATTTTAAATATTTTTAAATATTAAATATTTGGTTTGTAGATTGATTCGTTTGGTTTGCGGGTTAGCGATCTAGGTTGAGTTAGTCTATTTTTATCTCGTTAAAAAACGGATAAGGATGAGTTGAGTTAAAATATTTCTAGATCGAAATGAATCGAGTCAGTCTGTTTTACACCTTACAAAAGGAGAGAGAGGGGAAAAGGAAAATAAATAATAATAAATATAATGTTAATATTGCAAATATACTGAAAACATATTTATTCTAAATTTGAAAAATTTTAGAATATATTTGGATATCGGAATATTAAAAAATACGAGAATTATTTAAAAACTAAAAGTTTTAAAATATATATTATATGAACTGTAGTTAAATCTATTTATATAGAAAGAGTTAAAAAGATATGTAAATTATTTTCATATAGAACGATGTTTATCAGCTTTATAATACATGGTTAAATATAATTTTGTAATTTTAAAAAGTGTAAATTTATTTGTTTAGTTATAATTAAATAAATGTAATTTCGTAATTATTATTTTTCCGGTTATTGTACGGTAAGTAATGAATAATATAGAATCTATACAAATATAAGTTTTTTAATCTAAATTCGAACTTAAATTATTTGAATATAGGGAAATCATGATAAAGTTTTCAATGTATGATTAACGTGGAGAAAATTTAGGATATTAAAAAATGGCATTGGATATTATTAATAATATTATTATTATAATGATAATAATAATAAAGTTTCCAAAGTATGATTTGAAGATAAACACAATCTTTAGCTTTTCATATATTTTTTTGGAATTTTTTTCATGATTGACACTGTATTTAATCAAATAAATAATTTATTTAACAAATTGATGATCCGCTTTACATAATATAGTGTTTTGCTTGCACAATTCACGTGCGGTTTCATTGGGTATGGGTGTCAAATGGCCGGGTTTATCTATCATTATTTGTAATTTTATTTGTAATAATGAGTTATTGGTGTATTAATGTGAGGATTTAAATGATTAAAATGAAACATTACGAGTTTAAATCGATTCAAATAAAAAATTAGAGATATAATATGAGAAATTTTAAATGATAAGATTGCTTTTTTATTTTAGTAAAAAAATGATTTAAAATTGTTAAAATAGAAATATCACTATTTATAAACACGATTATTTTTTTTTTGTTAACTTAAACACGATTATTTTGTAAATGATAGAGCGTGTATTGGTTTAGATTAGCACTTCTCCGGTCCAGAATCCGACCGACGCGGTTCGAATCGATCCAATACTAATTCGGCTCGTGGCCCAAAAACGATATCTTAATAGATCTATCTATATTTTTTTAAGACACGAATCTTTATTTTTTTTGACGGATTCGAATCGAAAATTTCGGACTTGGCGCTTCAGTGAAGTCATTATCATCGGACTTTGTTTTTTTTTGGTGAAATCATCGGACTTTTTTTTTGTTACGTGATGAGCTAATGAAATACAGTCGATGCTTACAACTTGATATATTTTATTTCATTTTAAGTAAACATGCCCTTTTTCTACTTTTAGCATATTCATAGAATTAGATCGAATAATTATAATATTTATAAACATCAAATTCAATCAAATAAATATAACTGAATTAATTTGGACTGTTTTTGTATTTTACAAACATTACAGCATTAATACCAAATCACATTTTACCAAAAAAAAAAAAAACTGAATTAAAATCAAACTTATCTAAAATTTCTTGGACATATTTACTTTTAATTTAATAGAATTCGAACTCAATATAAATATATTAAAAATAGAAAGAAAATAATTTTCCGAAAAAGATAATTATATCTTAAGAAAAAAAGAATAGAATCAAATCGAGTGAAATATAACCATACGAAATATTTATATTGAGGTTAGTATAAAACATAGTCGTCAAGTATCCTTATCAAACCCTTCACAATTAGGAATTCGAAACGTACGGTGATTGTCGAAATATATAAGGATGGGAATTAGAATCTTCCGACATCATGTACCGAAGACATGTCCAACTATATGCATATCTAAGTACCATTAGGGTTTCACATAATGAAGATAGAAGAGTTTGGTGAACAAAGGATAAGGAAGAAAGTAAGTTCTCAACAAGACAACTATGGTCTCCATTGGAAAAACCAGAGAATAGAGTTCAGTGGCAAAAGGTGGCATGGATCAAACACTTAACACCCAAACATGCTTTCATTTGCTGGTTGTTTTGTCGTAACCGTTGTCCCATGAGAGACAGATTGGCAGAATGTGGTATTCAAACTGATCTAAACTGTCTCTTTTGTAACAATGCTATAGAGCGTAGGAATCACCTCTTCTTTGAGTGCCACTTTACAAGAAATATCTTCAAGGGTTCTCTGAATCGTATTGGCATACAAGTTGTTTCGTTTGAATGGTACCATATTATAAGCGGATTATTGAGTATTTGGGCAAATCCACACTTACTATGGATGCCCCAAATCTTTTGACAACTAACGATCTATATACGCTATAGAAGAAAATGAATTTTAGATTACACACTCAGTTTTTTCTCTCGGAATCAGTATTAACTAAGAAAATTGACAAGGAGTTCAGAACTAAGATGGTGACGCTACGAGTAAAGGATCCACAACTGACCTCTATTTTTCTATGCTTGCGATTTTTTTAACTCTTTTAATCACTACCATTCTGACAGCCCAGGATACCGTAGGAGGGCGGGGAGTGATCGGCGATGCGAGGAGCATGGACAATGGGCGGCTCCTGGAGAGCTTCTGGATAGGGGTACAGGGATGAATCGGATGCACCGGAATGAGAGGGATCCGAGGGATGTGTAGGTATGGGATTACACAGTCTAAGATAACTTAAAAGAATTAATTGAGCTACTCATAGCAAAAAGATGCATCTATCTTTTCGGTTAGCCATCTCGAGAGAACTTCAAAGTTAAGCGTGTTCGCTTTGGAGTAGTCTTAGGATAGGTGACCTCATGGGAAGTACTTTCCGGGATGTATGCGAGTGAGAACAAAACATGCTAAAAGGTCCCGTGTTGGTGTGTGGAGACAACTCTATCATTCCGTAGTGACCTCAGATCGTTACAACTATGCTTAGTTACTATTGGATTGTAATTAACTATGTTTTTGCTTTTTAGGTAAACGAATAGAGAATACAACAACCTCTAACAAAAAAAATATATTTTTAATTAATTTAATATTAAATGATTACGTGTTTAAATTGTTATGTCTTACAATTCAATATGCCTAATCAGAGTTTTAATACGGATCGACTTTTGCGTAAAATTATGAACCCAACCTTTTTTTTTAGAACCCAACAGGCTGTGGACGAGTAGTTGAGCGATGGGTGCAATTTCTAGTCCTAAATGGTTCTATATACAAAGACTGGTCCCGGATTTAGGGTTTAGGGTGGATGTAGTTGGGCCGAACCATCCTAGTTATAAAAAAAAAAACCTTTTTTTAAGAACGCACATTTTTCAATTAATAAAGTTAAAAAGCCGAAATAGTGACGTCATGGAGTTTGAAAACCACGTGCTAAATGCGTGCACAAAACCCAAGCAAAAGACCCCCCAAATTTTCCAAGCTTTACTTTAATTTTCTTTAATGCTAAATCTTGAACTGTAACCATATTCTAAATCGTTAAAAAAGGGGCATATTATTAATCGTTAAAAAAAATCGTATTCTCAATTAATACGTGAATCTATGAATTAGATTTCTCGGTACAAAAATAAATCGTAGTTGGGGTGGGTCTAATTTTGGATTTTAGAGTTCTCAAACTATTATATAGTTCCATTTGTTTAATCATATTTGATTTATAGTAGATTTTTATCAAAAATATTTCTTTTCAAAAACACTATTTTAAATTCGAGCTTTAAATATTTATCTATTAATCAAAATTGATTATTTAGAAGACATCTATTTAATAGGAAACATTCGATTTAGATATTATTAAATTTATTTATTTAAATATATTTAGGTTTATGTATGGAAATAAAATATCATAAGCCAATGCATTGTATGGGTCTGAAATATATAATGAAAACCATACTCTTTTCCTTCCCAGTTGTCTGCGGTTGAAAATCGACATTTAAAAAAAATATTAAATAAAGAAATAAAAAAACTTGAAAATTTATTAGCAAAAAAAAAAAAAAAACTCCAAGTTTATATGATAGGTTTATATTACCGCCGAATCATCAGCAAATTGTTTTCTCACCAGAGGTTTCTTTTTAAGGCAGTAATTATTGAAAAAATTCAAAAAAAAAAATTCAAACTTATCAATTTTAACAAATCAAAATCTAATTTTTAAAAAAAAAATACTAAACTTTTTAAATTATCTAAAATAATGTTTGAACTATTCGACGAATATCAAATTAAACAATAGATCTAATGTGACATACGAAAGTGTTGATTTGGCAAACGAAAGTGCAAACGTGATATTAAAATATTTTCACACCACGTCAACATTTCCGTATACCATATTAGTTTGGTTGTTTAATTTGATATTCATCGAACAATTAATATTTTATTTTGAATAATTTAAAAAGTTTAGTATGTTTTTTTTTAAATCCAGGTATTTTTTTTACCGAAATTGAAGAGTTGAGTATTTTTTATATATTTTTCCTTAATTATTATATACGATAATTATCAATTTTGATTTATATTTAAGTATATATTTGAGATATTTTCACATTTACTTTTACATGCAGTTTTCCAGCGCCATAGATATACATGTGACGTGGGCTTTAATGGGCTGGTAAAGCCCAAACAAGGGCCCAATGAGACAACAGACTTTAACTTGGTACAGACACAAGTACAGAGATCATATTGGTCGTGTCTGATGAATCTTGTGTAGAGTGAGGGGACTTGAACTGAAGAAGATGGCGACAAGCTCAGAGAGAGAAATCTCCAACGGTGATGGAATCGAGCCTGTGATAATCGGGGGTATGGTTTTGGATGTTCATGCCATCCCTTCAAGTGCGCCACTTTCCGGAACCACAGTTCCCGGCGAGGTTGGTTTTGTAAACCCACATCGATACACACTTACAGGAGCGTGTATATATTCCCCTTTGGATCGATTTCTGGTTTTTATTGTAAACCCACATCGATACACACTTACAGGAGTGTGTATATGTTCCTCTTTGAATCGATTTCTGGTTTTTATTGGTGGGTTTCATCTGGGTTCCGTTTAGTTTTGATGGATTGTCTGGTATGTCTGTTGTGTTTGCGTATCTTTATTGGGTATCTGAAGTGGTGGAAAGACAGAATTTGTTTTCCGAGAGATTTCAACGTTTCTTATGTTTGGTTCTCATCAGTTTCTATGTTATCTATCTGTTTACTTTTGTTGAAATGATCCATGATGATTCTGAAAACTACATGTAGAAATGGGGATACCATTGGATAATCCATGAAAGTCTATGATCAAATCTACAGTATAAGAGAAGTACACTTCTTGATTGAAATTAGGAAAAGTTATAATCTTTTTAGAGAATAATTCATGGTTTGGTCACAGTTTCTTTCCCTTTTGATCGCTGGATTCATTCACCTCTTAATCCAACTCTATCAATGATACTTGTTGGTACGAGAATGTCATGTTTACTAACTGAAATGTCGATTATCCTTTATGCAAAATCTTTGAAGAAAAAAATACCGTTATGTTACATATAAAGGCAGGTCCTTTTGGTTAGGTATTGTTTAGACCGGGTGGCGTGGCAAGGAATATCGCCGAGTGCATGTTCAAGCTTGGAACAAAGCCTTTTATGATCAGTACGTTAGGGCTCGACGGACCCGGTATTCTTCGTGGTTTTTCTCCTTCGTTGATTGTGGAATACTTCAACTTGTTTTCTGTAATGTGAGATTGTGTTGTGATTCACTAGAAAGAGACCTGATCAAGATTTAGAACCCGACACGAGAGAAGATATTCCCGAGCAGCTCTTTTTCTTTCCGGGAAACTTTTTCCGGTAAAAACTGACGTTTCTTTTTTGAAACACAGCGAACGTTTTGCTGAAAGAGTGGACGCTCTCCATGCGAGGTTAGCCTTTGCCTCTGTTTCCAATATTAATATCTGTGATTGCTATATGAAATTTCATATGATATGATCCGGAAAATGATTTCATACTTTCATCCGATACTTTTCAAATCCTTTCTTCTCATTAGTGTTACGCTTCATAACAAAAACCGCTTCATCGTGTTATAGCTGTTTTTTCGGATTTCATTAGTATCTCCTATAAAACGAGAAGGTTTTCGTTTAATGAAATAGTGGGAGTTTTAATTACTAACGATTGTATTCCGGTTACTAATCTTTCTAAAAACTTAGATTTATCATGTTTTTCTACGATAGGTTCGATCCCGTTCCTATCGAGTGTTTTTCATGGCTATATCATCAAATCCTTGATGCAGGAATTTTAAGACATGGAGATATCGGTACTCCAATTGTTTCCCACATTTACGACACTAACGGAGAAGTTGCGGCCGGCGTTGCAAATGTGGATGCAGTTGTATGTATCTTTCTACTCGATCTTTTTAAATCTTTTCTTTCGATAATTTCGTGCTGAAAAATGTCAAGAACTAGTTTTCAAAGCCTTAAACACCTGATTATAAATACGGTTTTATCAACGGGCAGGAAAAGTTTCTGACACCCGAGTGGATCCGGAGATTCAGACACAACATAAGTTCTGCTCCGATTCTTATGGTAGATGCAAATCTCAGCACTCGTGCTCTGGAAGAATCTTGCAAGTGTAATGCTAATGCCTGAATTTCTCGGTTCGATTTCCAATAGTTGTTCGTTTTGATTTTAACATCGATGTTTCATTTCCTTCCCTTCTGTTTTTTCTCGTTGAAGTGGCTGCCGGGTTCCACGTTCCTGTATGGTTTGAGCCCGTCTCAGTCACAAAATCCCGGAGAATCGCTTCCATCGCCAAGTATGTGAGTTCTATCTCCCCATACCCGAGATTTTGATCTCTATTCTCATTCACATTATCGAATAACCAATATAGATTCTGTTCTGTATAGGTTACAATCGTTTCCCCGAACGAAGATGAACTCGTGGCAATGGCTAACGCTCTCAGTGGCGAAGATTTGTTCTGCCCAATTAAACCCGAAAAAGACAAACTTTCACCTGAAGGTATACTCTTGGCGATGAAACCGGCCATTCGGGTGCTCCTCGAAAACGGCATTAAAGTCGTGATAGTGACCCTCGGCTCCAAAGGAGCTCTGTTATGCTCCAAGGGAAACCCGAAGAAGGCCCTGAATATTACCCGAAAGCTCCGTTTCCATGGCAAAATCTTCAAAAGGATACAAACTGTATGTTCTCCAAGCCGGTTTTTTGATGCGGGGTTGGATTACAGCCCGGGTTTTTTCACGATGCATTTCCCGACACTCCCTGCTACCGTTCTGAAGCTCTCGGGTGCGGGTGATTGCCTGGTAGGCGGTACAATTGCATCTTTAACCGATGGTTTAGATCTAATCCAGAGTTTGGCAGTTGGAATTGCAACGGCTAAAGCAGCGGTTGAGTCAGATAACAACGTTCCACATGAGTTTGGCTTGGACCGTTTATCCGGTATGAATTTTTACAAAATTCGAGTGTGGTTCCGGTTTAGTCCGGTAAGCGTTCTGGTTATTCAGTTTTAGAAATTTCCGGTTTTGTGTTGGTTTTGTCCGTGCAGATGATGCAAAGCGCGTCTTGTACGGGACGAAGAATTTGGTTCAACAACGGTCGATGCTGTGAAGGATTTTGGCTCATGAATTGGCTCCTCCATCTTTGGTTAATTTGCAATTTAGGAACTAATCTTATGATTTTACATTTGTAACCCTGTTGTAAAACAAATTATTTATTTTGAATTTAAGACAATTAAAATCATCAATAAGGAAGTATTTAAAAAATAAACTGCTAATCAGTATGTTCCTGTGTCACTTGCACTCAAGCCAATTTTGAAAAATTGAATATTTGCGTTAATTAAAATAAATCATTTATAAATATGAAGTTTTGTCCGAGTGTAGGGTTTAACTAGTAATAGTTTAAATAATGGGGTCATTGGCTAATTTAAACTAATTGTAGGTACTAAAAGGCAATCATTTAAACAATTTTTTTTTTGTCATAACATTGGAAGAGTGACTGTACTTCCCATCTTGGTCGCGGAGACCTTCACGAGCATGTCTGAAAGTGGACATGAAGTGGTTACAAGATAGCTTTTTGCATCAAGTTCATGCCATTAAAGCTGGTTTTACGTTAACAATCTTCTCCTCGAATCAACTCATCAACCTTTACTCGAAAAATGGCTTCTTGCGGGAAGCTCGGAAAATGTTCGATGAAATGCCTGAGAGAAATGTTTTCTCTTGGAACGCTGTTATTTCGTCCTATGTGAGATCTGGGGACTTGAAGGGAGCGCGTGAGTTGTTTGAAGCAGCGAAATCCGAGCGGGATTTGGTTACTTATAACACCTTGCTTTCGGGTTTTGCGGGTTGTGATGGGTATGAGAGTGAAGCCATTGAAATGCTTGTATATATGCAAAGGCTGGAGAAGGATGGGATTCGGATCGACGAGTTTAGTGTTACTACGATGCTTAACTTGTGTGCCAAGTTATCTAATGTGTGTTATGGTGCACAGTTGCATGGATTTATGGTGAAAACAGGGAACGATGCATCTGGATTTTCGGTTAGTTCTCTCATTGACATGTATTCCAAATGTGGGTATTTTAACGATGCATATTCCGTGTATGATGGTTCTGGTGTTAAGGTGGTTGATTCGGTGGCAAAGAATGCAATGGTGGCTGCATGTTTTAGAGAAGGTGAAGTTGAAAAGGCTTCTAGTATATTTTGGAGAAATCCGGAATTGAATGATGCAGTTTCGTGGAATACGATGATTTCGGGTTATGCTCAGAACAGATATGAAGAAGAATCTTTGAGGATATTCGTATATATGAAAGAAAGTGATGTCAGATGGAACAATCACACTATCGCCAGTGTCCTAAAAGCTTTGAGTAGTTTGAAGATTCTGAAACTTGGAAAGGGATTGCATACTTGGGTATTGAAGAACGGATTATACTCTAATCAGTTTATCAGCAGTGGACTCGTTGATGTTTATTGTAAGTGTGGAAAGATTGAATATGCAGAGTTAGTTCATTCATTGTATTGTTGTGGCTGTCCATATTCAATCTCTTCAATGATTGTGGGTCACTCGTCTCAGCGCAATGTAGTGGAAGCAAAACGTCTCTTCGATTCATTGTCTGAAAAGAATCCAGTTGCCTGGACAGCAATTTTCTCGAGTTGTCTCAAATCACAGCAACCTGAGGCTATATTTGAACTTTTACGTGAGTATACAGCTAACGTCAAAGAACTTCCTGAATCTTTCGTCATGGTAAGCATCCTTGGTGCGTGTTTGCAAGCTTCCATGGAACCTGGGAAACAGATTCATGCTTACATTTTGAGAACTGGAATCTCAGTGAACAAAAAGTTGATTACTGCACTCGTTGACATGTATTCAAAATGCGGGAGTGTCGAGTATGCTGAAAAGATCTTTGCAAAAACATCCGAGAGGGATGAAGTTTTATATAACGCCATGATATCTGGCTTTGCCCATCATGGTCATGAATCGGAAGCTTTCCATCTCTTTGAAGAAATGACGGATAACGGGTTCAGACCAGATGAAATAACGTTTATGGCCGTCCTATCAGCTTGTCGCCACCGTGGCCAAATTGCAGCAGGCGAGAAATATTTCAACTCCATGAAAGAGCTTTATAACATAACCCCTGAGGTTGATCACTACACCTGCATGATCGATTTATACGGAAAAGCCAATCGGTTAGACAAAGCCTTGGAGTTTATGAAAGGTATTCGAGTTGAAGAGGATGCTGCAATTCTTGGAGCACTTTTGGAGGCGTGCAAGTTGAATAAGAACGCAGAACTTGCAAAAGAAGTAGAGGAGAAGCTGTTAAAGATTGAAGGGTATGATGGGTCTCGTTATGTTCAACTAGCTAATATATATGCCTCTGCCGGGAAATGGGAGGAGATGGGAAGGATAAGGAAGCAGATGAGAGGGAAGGAGCTGAAAAAGTTTGTGGGGTGCAGCTGGGCATATATTGAAAATCGGGTTCATACATTTATCTCATCTGATGTTTCCCACCCGGAAAAAGAAGATATATATTCCATGCTCGATTTCTTGACCAAAGACCTGTCTGATGCTTTTGAGTATATTTGATCAGAAGTCATTTTCTTCCGAGGATTCAAGTTTCTTTACTTTAGGGAACGCAAACCATCCACATGATCGAGCATTGTGAGGTATGCCGGCCTACTTTGCTGTTTTAATTATCGTCAATCAGTATAGTTTGATCAGATTTTGGCATTTCGATTCTAATGACAGGTTTCAAAGCTTTTACTTTAGCAAGAGACTTCTTGTTGCTGTTTTGGATTGAGAAGCCTAAACCTTATGGCCATATTTTGTTCACTCGCTATCTTTTTGTTCAAAAGGGGTCAGTTTCTCATGTTCAGCATCTTCAATTATTATTTCATCAAATTATAAGTTTGAAAATTTTTAGCAGTTTTTTCCTAAAAAAATTGAAAGTTTGATATTTTTTTTCAAAATTGATAAATTCATATTTATTTAGAAATACGTAAATGATAGTTATCTTTAAATTGGATAATTTTTGTGAGATTATTATTGTTGTTGTTTTTATATGTAAAAACATTGTCTACAAAAGACGGCGATGTTACATGGCATTTCCATTTTTAGAATCACCCCGAAATAATTTAATATCAAAATTACCTTCTTTTTGCTAAAATCATTTCTATCCATATCATTCTTAAGATATGATCATGTGACATGAATGACTGTGATAACATGATGATCATATTAGTGTTTAGGGGTGGGCATAATATTCGAAAAAACCGAACCGATCCGTTATTTGATTCGTATTCGAACCGAAAATTCGGATATCCGCAATTTACGGATCGGATACGGATATTAATTTCAAGATATTTGTCGGATACGGATCGGATACGGATATTAAAATAGAATTATCCGACATATCCGATCCGATCCGTATTTTTTAGTAACATTAATAATATTTGATTAATTTGGTAATTATTTTAAATATTGGGGTAACTTTGTAAAAAACAAAAATATGTTAGGGTTATTATTGTGTTATCATTCTTCTACTCCATTTGGCCGCCGTCCGTCCCTCTCACCTCTCTCTCTCTCTCTCTCTCTCTCTCTCTCTCTCTCTCTCTCTCTCTTAAACTCTCGCATTTGAGTTTGTTCATCTCAGTTTCGTATTTATGTTCATTTGTCTTCTAAGCAAACTATGCACCATTGTTTTATTTTGTAAGCAAATTTCTTTATCTCAAGTTTCTATATTTTCCCAAATCTGGAAATTTCTTTATAGATTTCTAACATTCTGAGTTAGAGAATTTGAATAATCTGCAGTTTTGGTTTGAAGATTTTTTACTCTGATGAGTATAGAAGAATCTGCAGTTTTTTATCGGTTTAAAATTATTCATCGGATTATTTTTCTTCGAAAATTTTGTTATTTTCCAAAAGGATTGTTTTTCACCGGATTGTACTCAGATTCTTATTTATTTTATTTGCGGTTTTTTTTATTTTTTATAATGTTTGTATTATTTTTTATATCGGATACGGATATTCGCAAATATCCGCAATTATTATGGATATCCGAAATTACGAATATCCGAAAATTACGGTTCGGATACGGATAATAAAATCAAATATTTGTACGGATCGGATACGGATACAGATATCTCAAAAATCCCGGATATCCGATCCGTGCCCACCCCTATTAGTGTTAACGTTAAATTTATGATGACTTTATCAAATGATTAGTGTGATACGTGAGTTGTGACCATGCTGATTTGATGTGATAATGAGAAGTTTAATGTTATAACTAATATGATTATCATATGATCATACTGTTATTGTGGTGACATGGTTATATTTGAAAAAAAAGTATGCGTAAAAATAATTTTAGTAAAGGAATGTAATTTGGATAATAACCGAATGGAAACTAACTTGCGTCTGAGTGAACTTCTCGATCCCTATATTTCTTTCTGTGTAAAGGTTTATGTATTATATATCATGAGCTGTTTTTATCAGGTTTTGGATGTAAATAATTTGTTATATTAATTCCCATTATCTTATTTTGATATATAATAGAATATAAAGTGATTTGTATTCATAGGCGGACGCATAATATTTTTTTACCGGGGGCAACAAAACGAAAGAATATTAATATATGTATATATATTATAAAAATTTAATAAAAAATATTGTCTAAAAAATGTTTAGGTTAAACAGTTGAATTTTACGATTTTTTATTTTTTAAAATATATTTATATATCTCTATTTATAACAGTTTGAAATATACTTTTCGATAAAATAAAATAGACAATAATTCAAAAATTTAATGTATTACCGGTTGAATTTTTTTAGTAAATTATCAATTGAACTTTTACCACTATATTGAGATATTGTTGCAAAAAAATTTTAAAAAATGTATTTATTATTTTTTTACCAAATCAAATAAAACTTAAATAAATATATGAATACATATAGATAAATTTATAAGTATAATATATAGATAAAAACAAATAAATAATAAAATAATAAAATTTATTTAAAATCATAATTTTTACAAATTTTATTTTTTTAGTTTTAATTTTTTTTTATTATAATTGAATTGATAATATTTTTTATTTGATTAAAAAGAAAAGTAAAAAATTTGGAAATGGAAGATAACGAAAAAAAGGAGAAAAAAAAATAAAAGATTAGTTTTCTAATTTGACTTTGTTAGGTAAAATCATAAAATACATTACAAAAATTAAAATGGTGGGGTCCGCGGTAAAATTCAGTGGGGTATTAATGTATTTTCTTTAAAATTTTATTACATTTTGTAACTAATGTTTCTTCTAACGTAGGCTCGCCATTGCTTGTATTTCAGGTTGGGTCTATTTTGTCTATCAATATCATTTTTTAGCTTCGAAACCAAGATTGGGTTAAATCTAAAAATATTATATCTTTTTTCATGGGGATATTTCTTATATTTGCATTTTTATGTTTTAAAAAATATCTAGTTTTTTTATCATGTGTTACTCGATTATTTTTAAAAATTCTGTGTAAATTTAATTTACATTAAAAATATTTATAATCTAAATCATTTTTCATTTTTATTTGGTTTGTTCAACTGTGTTTAGACTCCATTTATTAAAACATACATTGAAAAATATAATTATATATGATCTTATTTGATTTATTTTTTATTAGATAACTAAAAATATCTGATAATTTCAACCTTTTTTAATTGTTGTAACTTATTTATTCATATTTGATAACAGGAAAAATTACCAAAAAATATTCTAACTTTGATTACTTTTGCACTCTATTATTCTATTTTTCTAACTTTTTTTTTTAATTTCTGCACCTAACATTATACCTCTAAGATTTTTATTTCATTTTTGAATTTTATCATAAAAAAATTATTTTATGGTATCAATAATATTTAAACAAAACTTTGATTCTTTTACAAAGTCTGAAAGATGAATACAAAATCTTAAAAGTTTATTTTTAAAAAATAAATATTAAGGTGTTGAATGAGAAAGGTTTTGGAAGTTTTTGGATTTTAAAAACTGAAAAAAATGACAATCAAATTTTTTAAATTTTGGGTTTTCTAAAAACCCGGAAATCTACTTTATAGAAAAAACAAACTAAAAACAAAAAACCACAAGTTTTTAGATTTACAAATTTATAAAATTCAAAAGCCAAAAACCAAAAATTTAAAATAAAAACCAATGTCACGGGAAACTTCACGATTACACTTTTATGTGTCGCACGTCTTTCTTCGATACACCCCTAAAAATCTAAAACTTTTTTTTATCAGATTCTACCCCCCATTTCATATAAAATGACTTATATAACCTTATATACAAAAAGTCTAAAATGTCCTTTTATATTTGGATTAAAAAACCTGGTGAAAAGAAATAGAGAGCTTCTTTCTCTCTCCTATCAAGTTGCTATCTTCTTCTCCTCTATTCCATCACACCAATTCTTCTGCGATCACAAAAAATATTCTTTTTTTTTTCTATTTTTTGTACAATTTTATCTGACTCATCAGAATCCAAAATCACCTATTGTCTTTTTCATGCAACCTTGTCGTGTTGCTCTTTTTGAATTTTAAGATCTTCTCTCACTTTTCTCTATTTTCTTCCTCACCGAACAAAGCTTCATGAAGCAGTTTCAAGTATATCCAATTTGCTTTTCTTTCATTTTTCACTAACCCATTTCGTTTTTCATTTATCAAACCAATCAAAATTGATTTTGGTCATGTCTATTATTTAGCATGAATAGGATCCGAGTCTTTTCAATATCTCCATTGGGTTGATTGGTCGTGTTTTAATGCCACTTCGGTCCAACACAGGAAAAGAGAACCAGATTACTGACCTGGTTCGTGTTCGAAAAACTAAGGAACGAAAAGTTTGTTGATCATAAATTGATATAGAATAAGAGACTTTATTGATCATGAACTGACATAAAATAAGAGACAAGAGAAAAAATATTAAAATAAATCACACGTTTTAAATTTGATATCAATGTGTGTTTATTTTATTATCTACCAACACCAATTTACTGCGACTTAATTACGACATATTTGCGACTTCGTAAATTGAATTTTTTTTTACGAAAATATTAGAAAAATAGTCCAAAAAGTCAAAAGTCAAAATATAAAAAATTCAAACCGTCAAAATATAAGTGAAGTAAAAAAATCAAAATATTAAGTAAAAAAATCAAACTGTCAAAAGTAACTAAAGTCAAAGAGTCAAAACGTCAAAAAATCAAAATCGTAAATTATTAAAAAAAGTCACCTGTAGAGATTTGTCTTATTATCTGTCAAAACCAATTTATTACCACTTAAATACGACTTATATGCAACTTCACGAATCAACTAAAATTTTTGACTAAAATTTGTATTTTGTTAATAAGAATTCCAAAGATGATGAATATAAACTAATTATGTGAAGAGAATGAGTTTTAGATCACAAGTCACAAATGAATTAAAATTTTGTACATTTATAAACATATAACACTAAATTTATATTAAACAAATACTCATACGTTCACTCAAATTACATGAAATGAATTAAAATATCAAATTTGTTGAAATTTATTAAAAATGTTAATTCAAACCGATTAATATCACTTTATTGGATGTATTCCATAATTATTTGACAAAACTAAGTCGAAATTCGCGATCTTTTAAAAAATTTACAAAAACTCTATGGTGGCAAACAAGTCGTAATCAAGTTGTAAATACTTGGTTGTGGCCGATTCCCGAGACAATATTAGTGACTCTTTCCTGGTTGGAACCACTTTCTCTAAGTATTTTGTCCACGTGGCTTTATATATTATTTTAGATTTTTGTCTTTTTTATGTACAAGTTTTCATTCCGAATAAAAACGATTCAATTACGACCAATTTTTTTAATCACAATTATCCCTAATTATTTATAACCTTTTTTTAGTAGTATCTACGACTTTATATACTTAGTTGAATATCACATGCCACAAATTTATTAAAGACTTGTAGATTTTTTTATAATACAACACTAAATAAAATATGAACCTTATATAAACACTTTCACCTATATTATATGAAATGTATAACAATATTAATTTTGTTTAAAATATGAATGCAATCCGAGTATTATCACTTAATTTCAAGATTTTTATCATCATTTGATAAAATCGAGTCAAAATTTACGATTTTGAAACATTTTTAAATAAATCAAACTCTAATTAATCTATATGGCTTTTATTAATTAATTTCAATGTTTATTTTTTTACACAAATTCGACCCTAGACAAATTTGGTCACAAATGCTACTAATTTTTTGTTACAATTGTTACTCTTTATTTGCAACCTTTGGTGTTGGATCTTATCATTTCAATCGATCTTGAATTAGTCTCTTCTTTAATTTTTCTCTCGGCATCTTTCTCTCTTATTTCTGATTTCAAAATCAGTGTAAAAAATTACGGTTTTTTTAAATTTTAAGTGGTCGGTTTTTTTTTTGGATATACAGTGGCCGGTTTTTATCTTATATACGTATATATTGATATATATCTTTTCTCAACGTTGAGGTTATCATAGGTTTTTTCAACTTTTTTAAGGGTAAGAACATCTTTTATTAATTCTATATATTTTTGGAGTGTATCTACGAAATGGATGCGACAGGTTTGAGGTTTGGTGTATATGTGAAGTTTGCCCCAATGTCATTCAAGTTCTAAAATATGGAAATTCACAATGTAAAACGACGTCGTGTCTCAAAGACATCCAACTAGAAGAAACTCGCACACAAAGATCTGGTAAACATTTTCGTATTTTTACGAGTTCGATGGAGATTCAAGATCCCTCGGAACCCATCGTGATCGGAGACTACGTAGCGAAATCGAAGCTCGGAGAGGGTTCGTTCTCCGTGGTATGGCGAGCGGAGCACAGATTCACCGGAGAGGAAGTTGCGGTGAAGCGCGTCGATCTCACGAAGCTCAATCGCCATCTCCGGAGCTGTGTCGACGCCGAGCTCTCGTTTCTCTCCTCCGTCAACCATTCCAATATCATCCGTCTTCTCGAATTTTTCCAGGTTCGATTTCATGAATCGATAAGGCTCTCGTTTGTGTTTGTGGAGGAGCTACTTTTGGAAATTTTTGTGGACGAATGAACTGTTCGAGAAGAAATTTGAATTAGTTGTCAATCAGGAGTGTAGAATTATGTCCAACACCACAAGAGTTGCTTCGTATTTTGATTTTGCGTCTCTGTGTTAAAATCTGTGTACTGAGCCTTGCCCTGTTTGTAATTGTATGTGTATCTTCACTTTTGTATACTCAAGCATCATTGGGCTGTTTCTGATTCCAAGTTGTACGTTCGGTCTTCTTTAGTGGTAACATTTATGTTCTTTTGCTTTAAGGATGGGAATTTTCTCATCATGGTTCTGGAATATTGTGATGGAGGAACTCTAGCATCGTATATTCATCGTCATGGGAGAGTTCAAGAACATATAGCCAGGAGATTCATGCAGCAGATTGGTAATTTCCAGATTTTGCTTCTTTATTTGTGATGATATATTGAATGAATATTGATGCCTTTGATGCAGGAGCTGGTCTTGAAATCATTCATGCTAATCATATGATTCACAGGGACCTTAAACCCGAGGTATGTCTTGATTCTTGCACAGTGCTGGATATAGTAGATGCTTTTTTTTCGCTGCTTATTTGCACGCATTCAAGTTGAGAAATTTCCATAGTCTTATTGCACCTGAATGAAGTCGTTTCCCGGAAAATGTTCAAAGATGGCTTTTGAATTTTTCTAACGCAACTCTTTGAACTGGTGCAGAACATTTTACTCTCTGGATCTGGTGATGATTTGGTGGTGAAAATAGCTGATTTTGGCCTTTCGAGGTAAAATACGTAAGGAAAAAAAGCTTATGGCATATAACTCTTGAGGTATTATGAGTCATCCTACTTCCGAAAAAACCAAAGATTGTTCAGTTTCGTTCTACGTTAATTTGCTTCTGGGGTCTACCAATGTTCTTGTTCATGTTGAAAGCAGAAAAATATATCCGGGAAAGTATGTAGAAACAGTGTGTGGTTCCCCATTTTACATGGCTCCGGAAATACTTCAGTTTCAAAGATACAATCAAAAGGTGAGGTGTTTCCCCGTTTATGTTCCATCTATCTCTGCTTGTGTTCAAATTAGAAGCCAGATCCCGAATTCGCAGTACCATTGCAGGCTGACATGTGGAGTCTAGGGGCCATCCTTTTCGAGCTCCTCCATGGATACCCACCTTTCTGTGGTAGGAACAATGTTCAGGTGAGATCTAGAATCTCGTGAGCAAGTTGAAAATGGGCTCTTTCACATCGTGACGGGGAAATGCTTCCTCAAGTCACAGGTGCTGAGGAACATCAAATCTTGTACAACTCTTCCTTTTTCTGGACCGATTCTCCAGCAATTGCACCCTGACTGCATCGATATGTGTTCAAGGTTGCTTTCTATTAATCCAGGTACCGAAAATCTCTTCGATATTCATCCATATACTTGTGTAACTTTAGGTTACGCCCATATCGGGTTCGAAATCGCCATTTTTGTGCAGTTAGTCGCTTGTCCTTTGATGAGTTCTACAAGCATAGCTTCTTAAGAGGCCCGTGAAGCAAACAGGTACTGACTGATATTGTGTAGTGTGTGGCTTATGATTTGTCTTGTGTTTCTGTATTAATCTTTTGTATGATGCATTTGTTTTGCACATAACTACGACGATTTAGACATGAGAGAGCAAATCGTAAATAGATAAACTCTTTCATTCCTCCACGAAAATTGGAATTATTTCGTTGAAAGACTATTTAAAAACTGAACCTTTTTCTTAATGAAACCGAAGCCGAGCCAAATATGCTCTTCTCGATTCCATGAGCTCTGGATTTGCCTCTCCAATCTTCAAAAGCATCCAAGTATTTTTATCGTTATTGTTTTTTTTTCTTTCTTTTTGGGAATGTTTTCTCAGTGTCATAATCCTGAGTTGAGTTGAATTGGCTCTTCTTTAGTTTTTGGATAAACAATTGATCTCTCCTCACGTTTTGTAGCTTTGATTGTTGTTAATGACACTCATGCTTTGAATTTATTGTTATTTTTTTAATAAATCAGTGGTGTCGTCATACTTTGATTTCTGATATTAACTAGAAACACAATTTGTAGAGCAGAAATTCTACATGAAACAGGAAAAGATTATATTTTTTTTTTGTGAAACCCTAAAAGGAATGAGGAATGCAACTAGGGTTTTGGGCGAGAAGCTTGGAGAGTCTATTGTGAAGAACGTTGCTTCTTCTCCAAGCGATCCACGAAATCGGTGTCGAAATTGGGAGCACTTGGCATTTAATTAGGAAAATTGTTTGCTACTACGCGTCGTGGGGAAGGCTAAGGTAAGATCGAGCACTTGACCCGTATGTTTTTGATAATTTACGAAACTGCCCTCATCTCCGTAAATGGAAATGATCAAGGTGATAAGTGATAACAGTTTGAGATTTCTTTGCGAAAGGGGAAGTCTGTGGAAACCAAGAGGTTGAACGGAAGATGTTTTCGGGGGTTTTAAAATTCAAAAATAAATAAAAAACTGATAATCGACTTTATAAATTTGGTTTTTCTAAATACTTGAAAATTAATTTAATTTTAGTGAAATAATTAACTTATAACCAACGAATTTAAAAAAAAAAAATCAAGAGTTGTGGGTAAAGTGATAAAATTAAAAGTTCCGGAAAATATGATATTTCAGTGAGAACTTTTTAAAACGAATTAAAAGTTTAGAAAAATTTTGTAAATTCAAAAAAAAAAAAAGATTAGAGTGCAAATTCGCTAGGATTTCTTTTCCTTTTTCTTCTTCCTCCTCTTCCAATGGCTGACCCTAGCTCTCCTAAGACCAAATTTTTGCTCCGGTTTGCCTTTCTGCACGCCGTTAGATGTCGGCCACTGCCCTACCACCGTCGGTTCGTTTCTCTTCTATTTTCTTGCTTTGTTCGCCATTTTTCTTCCTCCTCCATCGCCATTCGAATGTTTTCCGATTTCTGGCGAACAGAAACTCGGTTTGGCCGAGACTTGAGGGGTTTGAAAGCTCTTGACGAGTTGAATCTTTCCTGGGTAGTGTGTCATCGCCGAAAACGGTAAAATATCGCCAAAAAACCACTGAGAACCATCAGATAAAAACTTAAATCTAGGGTGTTTTAGGTCGATTTATGCCAAAATCTGTCGGCCATCCATCGCCAACTGGCCACCATAGCCGAAAAGTTTCCGGATGACATAGATTGAAACGTTTCAGTCCTGTGGTTTCAAATCCGAAATCCGTTATATAAAATTCAAAATATTTAGAGATATTTGAACGGAAAGAGTTTAACCGATAACCTACCTGGGTAGTTCAACCGGTGAAACGGAGTGCAAAGCGTCTATCCCGCCCCGAGTTTGAATCCCAGGCTGGGGAGAAAGCGCATAATTCAAATCACATGGTTGACTCCCGACACCGGGATTAGTTTGGGTCTCGTCCCAGGAAACCCGGTTACTAAAAAAAAAAGAGTTTAACCGATAAAAATTTACCATTTCATTAACATTTTTTACTAAAGTAAATATTTTTGAAAGATAACTTGTTGATTAAAAATATTATATGATAATTATTTATAGGTGAAGAAAATTTCGAGATTGTTGAACCTGAGATCAAGGATTAGAGCGAATTTTATGGGGTTCATCGTTTAGACCGAGAACTGGACAAACTCCTCTTTCTTCTATTCGCTTAGACATAAAAATAGAGGACGTAGATATCACGGGGATAGGACTTTAAGTTAGATGTTTTATATTTCTTGTGAATTGATGTTGATTGATGATTGATAGTTGAAGAATGATGATTGATGATTGAAAAATTTCTATTAATCGATGATTGACCTGATATGTTATATGGTTTCTTTTTCATGGATTTATTGGACTATCAGAATGAGCTGTATTCGTTATGTGACGTCAGATTGTGCTAAACATATTTCAAAGTGTGTTTTGAGACCTTGGTACAGTAACGATCTGTATGTGATGGTATGATAACAATACGGGCATGACTATGATTCATACGTAGTTCTAACACCGACTACAACGGCGATCCGTAGAGGGTTATGACTGTTGGTTGAGTTTTGAGATCATAGTACGGCGACGATCCGTATGTGATTGCATAACAATCCAAGCATGTTGGCGATCCATGTGGAGTGGTAATCCCGACTATGGCGGCGATTCGTAGAGGGTTATTGCTATTGGTCGTATTTTGCTAACCCGGACTACGGCGGCGATCCATAGAGGGTTATAACGATATTTTTTGTTTTATTTTATAAAAAGAGTTTTAAGCTAAGTCTGATGGATATTGAATAGTTCTAGAGTCTGGACCGTCTGAAAGAATCGAATAAAGAAAAGTTAAGAGAAGAACGTGAATCAACAAGTTGAGTTTTGTTTGGTTTGAGTGTTGATTGTGTTCGTTTTCTATTGGATTATCTATGTTGAGTACAAAGGTGAGATTTATAGTCTTGCGATTTCACTGAGTTATTCGCATAATTCACCCCTTTCTTTTTTCCTACAGGTAAAAGGTGAAGCATATTGTTTTGGTTGGACTCGATAATTTATCAGGAACACGAAGATTTAGAATTCTATTTTTTTTAATTCAATTTATTCATGAAATTAGTATTCAGATTTAAGTTATTGAATTTCATAGTTTTAAACTACCATTGTAGATATGAGATTTTGAGGGTTGATTTTAGAATAAACCGATTTTTTTATAAAACAAATGACGATTCAACGGTCCGAAATACCGGATTTTAGGTCGTTACATAACTAAAACTCAAAAGTTTCATTTTTTAAGATTTATAAATACTACAAAAAATCAAAAGCTAATGATAAAAAACCAACAATCAAAATAAAAACTATCATCGTTCAATCTCTAGACCTAAAAATCCATTCTTTTGCTTTCACTACTAGAGAGTTTCGAGACTCACAGTAGAAAAAGATTTGTTTTCATCTTCACTATATAAATAACACCACTGTGCTTCTGTCCCGTTAACTATTTTTTTCCCTCCTCGTTCTCCTATATAACTTTCAACGCTTCGATCTATTTGTGTTGGCACTTATGATTCAAAGTCTTCAAAAAAAAAATGCAATAGAAGAACAAACTGAATAAAACAAAGGGTCGAAGCAGTTGCCAGTTAATTGGAGTTATGAAACGGTTTTTTAGTAAGTTATTTGATTTGGTTATAAAAGCATGTATTGATTGTTTTTAGAAATTATTGCATGTTTCAGGATTGGACTCAGTTACAGTTTTTGTTGTAATTGCCAGAATTGAGGAGAAGACAAAGAAGAAACCTCAGGAAACAAAACCTGTTGTAGTTCCAGTGAGCACACCAGCTGCGGAAAGCCGGTTGAAAAGGCGTAAAAGGTAACCAATCCCATAATAGGGAAATATTTTTTTATTATTTATGAGTGAAAGATTACACCTTATTATATAACAAAATACAACAGAATATTCTAGGTATAATATCTAGGGTAAATCATAACTATATTAATGATAATATTCTATGAATAATATCTTCCTATATGCCCCCTCAAGATGAATCATCTATGATGAATACAATCTTGTTACATAAAAACTGAAATTATGATCGTATTAAACAAATCATCTTCCATGTGGTGATGTAGTTCAGACTTGAGTCGGTATTGCTTGATAATGTTTGAAGAGTTTGAGAGTTGTAATCCCAGAGACTAATGTGGCACGGATGTGCGGCGCATATGCGCGAGTTGGGTTGCACGATAATGAGGTCGGCAGCGCAAAAAATTGCGGTGTGTATAGCGGCTAGGCCGGAGAAAAAAAAAAGGGCGCAAAAGCGCGACGCATAATGTGTGATAGTGTAGCGGCGAAGTAAGATAGAAGAAACAAATAAGTGATGTAAATACGTGGATCGATGATCAGAGTTTTCCAATCGAAAGGGCTAAATGCCATGTGTAAAGATCCCACAACGGCTAGAGTTGACATCGATAAACGAACGTCGTCAGGAAAAAAAGTAACACATCGACTAGGGTTGACAGTGATGAACACTGTCGTCGAAAAAAAACTAGAAAAAAAGGAGAAAAATGAATGCAAGACGATACTCAAGATGATAATATTATTGGATTTAGTATATATCATCATCTTCATCATCGTTTTAGGATTCAACGAACATTGTTGATAAGAAAAAAAAAATATAACAAAAACTGAAGCTCTGATACCATAATAGAGAAATGTTTGTCTATTATTGATTAGTGAAAGAATACACCCTATTATATAGCAAAATACAATAGAATATTCTGGGTATAATATCTAAGGTAAATCATAACTATATTAATGATAATATTCTAGGAATAATATTTTCCTGTATCCCCTACCGAAGACGAAACCCGGGAAAGGAAAAAACAAAAAGTGGAAAGAGAAAGTGAAGAGACAACCCAAGAAACTAAATGATTAGACAAAAACCAAAAGCTTCAGAGGCTCATGTGAACCTTTTCTTTTTGGCGTAACAGCGGTGGAATGTTATAAAACTAAAAAAAATCTAAAACAAAAAACTCAAATTAAAAACTATGAATGGTAAATGGATTAACTAACCCAACCGAATAATAGTTTTTTTTGGGTTATGTATTTGAATTATATTAATTAAATGAGTTTTGTGAATTTTTAACCCATTAAAATTATGGGTTAAATAGGTAAACTCATTTAATCTAATATGAATATAAAACTTAATTAAATAATTATTTTAATTAGATTAATAAAATTATAATTGAATTCTTTTGAACTAAATAATACATAACCAAATTCGATATAATATCAAATGAGAATTTTAATTAAAAAATTGAATTAAATTGAAACATATTGAATCAATGTGAATCGAAATGAACTGATTCGAAACAAATTTAAATTAGAATGATTTGATCTGAATCGAAATGAATCGATCTGTATAGAATTTGAATCGAAACGAGTTGAATCCAAATCAATCAAAATCGAATACGAACGGTAACAAATCAATTCAAATCTGAATAAATCAAATCTGAATCGTTCAAAATCGAATACGAACTGTAACAAGTCGATCGGATCCGAATCGATCGAAATCGAATATGAAACGTAACAAATCGAAAAAATGAATGTGAATCAATGCAAATCGAATCGAACCGAAACAAATTCTTATATAAATTAAATTTTATTCAAAAACCAAGTATATATATATGTCTAAACTCATTGCTTTAATTGAGTTTTATAGATTAGCTTAACTCAAAGAGATTTTTATTTAGTTTGGATTAATCCAACCTATCAAATATTATGAACAGAATGGGTTGGATCCAAAGTAGTATAAGCCGAATGGGTTGGATACAAAGTAGTTTTTTGAGTTTTTAGAAAACCTCAAGTATGAGTGGATATAGCTATAATACCCTCTCAATGCTACCATCACTTCCACCTATACCCTCTAAACAAAAAATAAATAAAAAAGTATTAATCATGACAAAAAAGACCATAAAACCTCATAAAATACTGTAAAGACAAAAACACCCCTTCTTTTTCAATTAAAAATATTCAAAATTAAAAAAAAAGTAAAGTTAAAAAACAATAATGGCTTTCTCTCTCCTAATCCTCTGTTCATCTTCTTCCTTCTACCAAATCGTGATCTTCTCTCTCTCAAAACTCTCATTCTACCATCGATTAGTGACATAAATCTCGATTTCTCTTTAGAAATTTCTGTTTCTCTTCAAATTTCCAGCGAAATTAGAGAGTTGAAGAAGATATGGCGTCGAGAGCGAAGAACACAACTTCAAATCATCGGTGGCCTCATCTTCATCTTCCTCCGAAAGTGAGAACCATAATCAAATTTTAGAGTTAAAAAAACAAATGGTAGGTTAAACAAACACTTTGTCATCAATTTTGTTGGATTTTGAAATGTATTGTTGTTGAGTTGAAGTTTGGGTTTTGGGTTTTGTAAGTAGAAATATATGGTTTTAGGTTTCTGAAATTTTGGGAATTTCAAAATAGAATGTTGTGTTTCTGAAATTTTGTGGATTTCAAAATAGAATATTGAGTTTTAAGTGAAATAATTGATTGACATGTGAAATGATTTAAATCGAGTTAAATAAGTCAGTTTGGGTCACATGGTGATTTAGGATAATTAAATGGGTAATTGTATCATATGAGTCGATATATAGATGTATGAGTGACATGATGATTTGAGTAATATGGTCACAGGGTTACAGACTTACAGTGTCATATAGGTCACATTATGGTATGGTCACAGGGTCACATCTTTATATAGATTACAGGTCAGATGGTGGTATGGTCACAAAGTCATATCTTCATATACGTCACAGTGTCACAGGTCACATGGTACCATGTCAGATGGTCACATGGATTTTGAAACATGATCTAGAATGCTAACATATATTTTTTTTGTAGCGCATTGAGGAGACAATGTATGAGATACGACTCTGCGTTTTATAGAATTCGGTGACTTATATAGGAAGCAATTACATGGTTAGTGACACTATTTTCGCGGAGCACATCAAGTGGTAGGAAAAATCGGGCGACTTGCCAATTTTGGGCGATCTCGGGCCCTACTTCAAGGGACATCTTCCACTTGGATGTGCAGGAACATCATTGATTAACTTTTATTTCAGCTAGAAATGACTAACTTTTATTTCACCTAATAATTTATCTCTTTTTGTTATGAACATTAAATATAACCTTCTTTTGTTTGTTTATAGAATCCTAAGTTATAATTTTTTTTATGCTTTTTGTTTATTTATATATGAAACTGTTTATAGAGTCAACGAAATATAGGTTGAAAATAGTAAACAAATGGATCCCACCGAAACTCTAAATTATCAACCGTAACTTTTCTACACACTTGGATGATACTAGACTCCACAAGAAATATTGCATATAAAAATTTTGGAGGGAAAATTGTTAGAGAACAAAATTTGGATTTAGCTGTTTTAAACTCAAACTATTACCATGTTCACATGGTCACATGAGACCATATTGGTATGGTCACGTAGTACCATATTCATATGGCTACATGGTACCATGTTCACATGGTTACATGGTGTCATGGTACCATGGTATCATTTATTTTCATGGAATTAAGAGTATACTAAAGAAGGAAGCGTCTGACGAAGTACTTTTTTATTTGGAGGAATTGACATCATCGAGTTCATGACTTGAAAATTCGTTCCACAAAGTCTTCTAGGAAGAAGAAGAAGGAAAAAGGTCTGATAAATGAAGAAGAAGTAGAAGATGAGCGAGCAAAAGAAGACGAAGAACAACAAGGACAAGAATAAGAAGGACAAGAAAAACAACAATTATATGTGATGACAATGTCACCAAGATGCGTGAGCAGTTGACAGCCACCATACTTATCAATAGAAATGTTCAAAAGTAGAATTAAGAACTTATTTATGTTATGAACTTATTTCTTTTTGTTATGATATTTTGTTTATTTATTATAAACCTACAGAATTTTATGTTATGATATTATGTTTTATGTTTATTTTATATTTGAACAAAAGAGGTGAAAAATATTGGAAGGTAAAAAATTTGGGTTGAAAAATTTTGGAGGGAAAAAAATGGGTTAAAAAATATTGGAGGATAAAAAATATGGGTTGAAATGTTGGGTCCCACTAAAATTTGTGTTGAATTGTCAACCGTAACTTTTTTGCACACTTGGATTACACTGGACCCCACCAGAAATATTACATGTTCAAATTGGGACCCACAATATTTCGGTCACAATGGGTCACAGTTGGTCACAAGGTCGATTTAGTGGATTCTTTCAAATGAATCGATCTAATTGTCATCACATCTTCCATATGCACCATTTTGAACTATATTTAACTATAATAATTGAGTTATTCAAATTTTGTGTGCAAAAGTAGTTCTAAAAAATGTGATACATTAGTGTTCATAGTATTTTATGAAGAATTTTGACAATTTTGGTCTTTTTATATTACAAACTCGTTTTAACATTTTGTAATTTTGTCACCAACATAATATTTGGGTTCCTAATACCTTATAATAACGGACCAAAGCTTGAAAATTACGTTTTTACCTGTATTTACCTTCGTCACTTGGTCACAGGTCATATCCGGTCACAATGGTCACATAGTGTAAAATTGACATTGGTCACATGCTGGTCACATGGGACCCAACCACTACTTATATGAGATAATTTATTTACTGTTTTTTAAATTGTAGAATGAAACCAAAGTATTATAACGCATTATTTTAACACAATATTATACAAAGATCTTGATGTTTTAGTGTATAGATATAATATAACATTATTATACAATTTATATTTCTTTATTCATTCAAAATTAGGGTTTCTCTGAAACTTTGTTGATGTTGATACTCCTGTTGTGGCATAGATCCGTTTTTGGACTTCGCTAGGACCTGAAAAGCGGTTTTGTTTAGGTCTCTCACTTTTTTGTTTGTCTTCCAATTTCTTTGTACCCTTCATAGCTTTGCTAGATTCTGATACGAGTTTGAAACTATGCATGAGATTGTATTTTTTTACACTCCAACGTTTCGAGTTTAAGATCAATGTCGTACGCAACTTCCAATTACAGTCGGAACTAGTAACTTCCAACACTCTTTGGTTTTTCATCACCTTTCCTTCTCATTCATATTCTCCATTCTTATTCATTATCCATTTACAATCATACAGAAAATATACAATTGTTGATCTCTTATCTCATCCGTCTATAATAGTTTTAGAAAACATAAATACAAAATACAGATCAATTCGACTATTCTGGACACAGTGACCATGTGACCATTATTACCATTTTTGACTATGTGACTATGTGATCATATGAACATAGTATCATGTGATCATTATTACCATTCGACCATTTAATTTAAATCCATGTGACCATTATTATCAATCTGACTATTATGGAGATCATGTGATTGTTTGACCATGTGAACCTGATACCATGTGACCATGTGAACATGGTACTATGTGACCATGCGAATTTGGTACCATGCAACCATGCGAACCTGGTACCATGTGACCATGCGAACCTGATACCATCCGAACCAGATCTATGACAATACCATACAACAAAGGACAAAACTTCACAAACATCACCAAGTAGAAGAATAGAAGTGGAAAAAACATCATTCTTCATCAAAATAACCCCCACAACCATCAATGTATACGAAAAACAATAAGATTTTCGCAATTGATTATTTATTTTCAACTCTTCACTAATTTTTCACTGAATCTACTTTGATTTCAAGCGATTTTGATGAAAAAATCAGAAGAGAGAGAAAATGCAGGAGAGAGAGTGGCCAAATTCGATGAGAGAGAGTGGCAAGAGAGAGAAACTCAAAAAAGAGGAGAGAGAAACCGAAAAGGGGAGGAGAGAGAAAAAACCTACATTTTAGGAGAGATATTTTTTATTAAAAAATTATATAATATAATATATTAAGGGTATTTTAGTCATTATGTATTAAAGAGGGTATTATAGAAGTTAGAATTTTTTTTTAGGAGTGTATGAGTAGATGTTGATGTAGCACATATAGGGTATAATAGAAGTTGACCCTAAGTATGAAGATTGATAGTTTTTATTTGGGGCAACTTCTATTCTATCCTCAATGTGCTACGTCAACATCCAATCATACCCTCTATTTTTTTTTAAAAAAAAATCAACTTCTATTATACCCTCTTTAATATGTAATGACCAAAATACCCTATTTTATTTATTTATTTTTAATTTAAAAAATCTTTCCTAAAATCTAGGTTTCTCTCTCCTCTTTTTTTGGTTTCTCTCTTCTTTCCCTCCTTTTTTACGAGCTCTCTCTCCCCTACACTTTCTCCCTCCTCTGAAATTTTCATTTTTTTTAAATTCATTAAAAATAAAAAAAAATTAGTGAAAATTAGCGGAAAAGTTGGAAATATTAAAAATATTATTCTTTTTTCATGCACGTTGATGATTGTGTGGGTTTATTTGATGAACAATGATTCTTCTTTCACTTCTCTCCTACACTTTCTCTCTCTTCTGATTTTTTCATCAAAATCGCTCGAAATCAAGCAAAATCAGTGGAAAATTAGTGAAGAAGTTAGAAATAAATAATCCATTGCGAAAATCTTATTGTTTTTTCATATACATCGATGGTTGTGGGAGTTGTTTAATGAGAAATGATGTTTTTTCCATTTCTTTTCTTCTAAGGAGTGAAGTTTTGTCCTTTATAATATGATATTGTAACAGATCTGATTCGAATGGTACAAGGTTCACATGGTCACATGGTTCTAGGTTCACATGGTCACATGGTACCATGTTCACATGGTCACATGATACCAGGTCCACGTAGTTACACGATCACATGATCTCCATAATAGTCGAATTGATAATAATGGTCACATGAGTTTAAATTACATGGTCGAATGGTAATTATGGTCACATGTGACTATATTCATATGATCATATAATCAAGAATAGTAAGTAATGGTAATGATGGTCACAAGGAAAGATGGTGGGAAACCCAAGAGTGATATTCTTTTGTCTCCATTGTGAAGTAACCTGCAGCGAACTTGTTCGGAAGTTATGTGTTGAGATGAAGTCGGACAAAGATAAAACGGAGATCAAGTTGAGCTATTTGCCAACTATTAAAGGAAACAACAAACTTGTTCGAATTAGAATTATGGAAAATAAGATACAAATTTGTTGGATCTGGCTGTAATTGGAAGTTGCGCATGACATTGATCTTAAACTCGAAACATTGGAGTGGTAAGAAAATATAATCTCATGTCGCAACAGGAGCATCGACATCAACAAAGTTTGAGAGAAACCCTAATTTTTAATGAATAAAGAAATATAAATTGTATAATAATGTTATATTGTCTTTGTACACTAAAACATTAAGATTTTTGTATAATAGTGTGTTAAAATAATGCGTTATAATACTTTGGTTTCATTCTACATATTAAAAAACAGTAAATAAATTATCTCATATGAGTAGTGGTTGGGGCCCATGTGGTTATCTCATATGAGTAGTGGTTGGGTCCCATGTGACCAGCATGTGACCAATGTGACCAATGTCAATTTTACACTATGTGACTGATGTCGCAAATCTAGGTATATAAATTTCGATCAAGTGATAAATTCCTAGACTCAACAAATTCCGCAAGTGTACGGATCGATTGTAGTAACTAGGGTCGAACACAAGGACAAAAGTAGACAAAAAAAATTAAATCCCAATCCAAATCTAGATCCAAAGGAGATAATATGAGTGGGAGAGCGTAGCAAGACAAACAATAAAAACTGTTGTAAACTATGAATGATAAACACTGCAGGCTTTGAGATTGCTTTACATGCAAGGATCTTTCAAAGGATGCAAACTTAGTGGTTTATCTATCCAATTCAGGGAATTCAAGCTCTAAGGTAGAGATTAACTCTTCCAAGTCTAATCTCACTATCCAGGTTTAATTCTACCAATCTCCCGATTCAATAGTCTAAAACTCTGGATGCATGAACGACCCCTATCATGATTCCTAGGCAAATACCCATCTCCCGATGTGATACCTGTTCTATTTATTGAATTAATTCCAAGTTAAAATCCCATATGTCTATGTGAATTAAAACCCTAAGATCATTCAACCAATTGGCCAACAAGATCAAACGCATTAAGAACAATTCAATAAACTGAATAGAATAAATAAATCCATAAAGTCCGGAATTAAAACCAAAGATCCCTACATAACAAATCCCTAATCTACAGCTATGGAACTACTCGCTAAACATCGAGTTGACAGGGTTCATATCCATACAACAAAACATCGTAAAATAGAATAAGGAAGAAACTCTTAGTCGATTTCTCGACTTCGTGATCTCCGTCTTCTACTCCGATCTCTTGCTTCCTGATAATCTCTCCCTTTTTGGTGTGCTCTAGGTCTCTTCTCTCGTAAAAGTATGAATGATTCTCCACTGGGAGGGTAACCCTAGTTAACTTCCTCTTTTCTGCCCTGATTTGGAAATATTCCTGAAAGATCCCGTAAGTGACACGATCGTGTGATTCCGGAGGACACGATCGTGTGAGTCTGTTGATTCTAGTGTCTGATTTTTCGCGACTTGACCCGATCGTGTGTTGGTACGTGACACGATCGGGTGAGACTTCAAAACTTCTCTTATTATCTTGGCGAAATGACCCGATCGTGTGTTGGGATGTGACACGATCGGGTGGACTCCCGATCTGATTGTGGTCTTCTGGATGATGAGACACGATCGTGTGCATACAAATGACACGATCGTGTGTAACGTCATAGCTCGTTCTTTTCCGGGGTTTTTGTCCTTTATTTCGCTCATATTGCTTGTACCTGCAATTATATACTAACCGAGCGAGAATCAAGGCTAAACACGCAATTGAACATTTCTGATGATGTAAAACTAGATAAATACGTCAGATGAATGCGTGTCGAAGTTGTGTATATTGCGT